TAAATGATATTGATCAACATTTTACATTTTTTGTATAATCAAATTTGAATAGCTAATTAACTGTAATGGAATATAAATTAATTTGTGCTTATTAGAACTATAAAAATTCTTAATTTATATATTTCAATTAGGATTCTAGTTTATATTCCAAAGTTGTTGTTTTTCTTCTTCTGCTAATGACCTTTCATGACTATGATTTTCAAGAGATTAAATGTTCTTTTTTTATGTTATTCGCTGTCATGCAAATATCTTTGAGATTAACAGATCATTTGTCAAACAGAGTTGTTCCATTTAACATTTTAATTTTGTTTTTTATTTTTAAGGATGTGAATATTAAGAGCAATTGAAAGCTTTCAGATACTTAGCATAGGCAAAGCTGTTCTTTTTAGTGGACGTAGTTGAACATTTATTTGTGTGTGTTTTACAAAATTTATGGTTAAACACATTCTAAATAGTAAAATTTGGCATTGAATTCAAACTTCACAAGTTTTTCTTCTGATAATAACCATTCCAGCAGCATTTTGTGAATGGTAAAAATAATAGTGTACTTATGTAATGAAAGAGACCCAATTTGAACTTCCCACTTTGAATCCACACACTACTCTAAACTGAAGAATATACTTGACACTTTTTAATGAAAGGAAAAGAAGACTTAATTGTATTTTGTGATGAAAGTAGAGAATAGCACAAATCTGACACTATTTTAAAATATTTAAAGCTATTTACAACTTCACAGTTTTGTGTGCAGCTGCATTCTCGACTTTGATATCATTGAAAAATAAGTACAGAACATAGCTGAATGTTGAACCTGACCTTTGCTTTAAATTGACAAATATTACACCAATATTGTTTTATTGTACCAGAAAAAACAATAATATCTTTACCATTTATTTTATTTTGTTAATTAGACCTTGTTGATACTTAAAAAAAATTTTAAACCATAAAAGTGGCTTGTGGGCCTGTAAAGTGTGATCTAACATATTCAAATCACACTTAAAGTTGGCTCTTAATGGGTTTTTTTATGATCTTAATCTTTTTTTTACAAGGTAGTTATCAAGCATATTTTGATGAAGAAGAGTGCACAGTGATTAGATATTCTTGCATATCAAAAATGTATGTAGTAGTTTTATCATTTATTGTTGGATACTGATCCCAGTATTTTGTTATATCCTAGTGTATTCTTTCTTCATATATATCTAGATGCGAACTAATGTTATTCCAGTTAAAGATATGAGGGATCTGTACGTCTCCTTCCCAGTTCCAGATCTTCAAAAATATTACAAGGCAAATGTAAGAAATTTTGTCTTCAACACTTTTCGTGTATCATCAGACTTGAATTGTATTTTCCTAACAATATGAGTGTTGTATTTTTTTACTGAATGGAAAACCTCATTAGCGGTAGAATGTAAAAGATGAAGTTGAAGTCAAAAATTATAATTATGCTGTTTCGTTTAAGAACGAGTAAAGAAATCTTTTTTTCTTCTCTTGATATCCTCGGATAACATGATATATTGTGGTTTATGTAGTTGATATATCTTTAAATTGCATGATCCTAATTAGAAATAGTGACCCATGATTTGTTTCTCCAAAGACTTTGGTTTTGCATTAAAAGTACTGACCCACAACTTGTATCTACAAAGATATTTGACTGTGCTTTGCACTAAAAGTAGCATATGATTTTAGAACAAATAATGTGATAAAATTAAATTTGACAATTCTAATAATAATTTTTTGTTCCCATACAACATTTCTATGAACTATGACCTTTGATCTTTTGACTTACAATCATGTAACCACAACAATGAAAGAGAAAACTGAGAAGCACCTACTAAAAATCTATTCTTGGTTTTAGTAGTTGACTATTCATTTTCAAAGCACATGTTAATTTTAAAAGCTCAGGTGTTTATTTTGTTTTCTGTGCTATGTTTAACATGTTATTCTGGACAAACAGTACCTGTAATTTTCAATGTGAACTCAAACAAAAGAAATGCAAAAAAACATTTGATTTGTATATTTTCCTAAGTGCCAAATATATTTTTATTAATTTGTGCTGATACTAGATTTTGCTAGGCAGGCTGTGTCAGAAACTTATTTCTAAACGTATATCCAACCAGAACTAATTGTGTAACATTTGAATTAACTGTGTAACTTTTTTTTAACACCCAGTTCTCTATTACAGCATGGTTCATATTTAGGCCATTTGATTGGACACGAAGGACCAGGTAGCCTTTTGTCAGAACTAAAAGCACGAGGTATGATTTGTTCGTTTTACTTGGAATACATCATTAGTTTTAAAGACAGTTTTTTAACTATTGTATAAATGGTAAGGTACAGTATATCATCAGGTCAAAAGCAGTGCTACAGCTTTTTTGATCTGCATTGAAATTTGCATTATCTTTCAAAAACTTCCAAGTTTTAAAGGAAAGAATTAAATATCGTCACCAACAGAAAAATGTAATTTCTGTGCAAAATATCACCTTCTCTAGAATTTATAATCAGTAGCCTTTCAATATAAAACTGACTGAATTCTTTCAGTGCAACTACAGATAATTTCTTTTATTTATGTATATTTTAATCCAGACTTTCTTTTTGAACAATCAGACTATTGTATTTCCTCAGGATGGGTGAATTCTCTAGTAGGAGGCTACAAGAGTGGAGTTAAAGGATTTGCTTTTTTTATTGTCAGTGTGGAATTAACAGAAGAAGGCATTGGTAAGAGGACTCATGGTCATTAAACCAATGCTATTTTTATAAAGTTTGTTTACTGTCTGTCTTAGATATCAAAAAATACTTAAGCTCACGTGACTACTAGATAAGCTGTTTTCAATATTTTATTTTTTGGTATTATAAATTCATCATAGGATTACTTTAAACATCTGTTACTGATT